GTAAAGTCACGCTTCGGGCCCTCAGGCAGCGTCCGCCACCAGCAAGTCACGTCCAGTTCCCGGAGGACTTCCCCTTCAGGCTCTTTCGTGCGCACTGTCCGCCTGTATCCCTCCCCTGTGCAATTGCATCAGCTCTAGTCCAGTCCGTCGCGGGGCACGGGTGCCAAACCTCTTCCCAGACACCGTCACCTTGGCGGACCGCACTGGGTAGGGCGGCGCATGCGTGGGCCTGAGCCTGGCCGCGGCCGCGCAGCCGCGCCGCGTGTGCAGCCGCTGCTGTAAAGCCCACGCTGGCGCGCCCGCTTTCCGACTCTTGTCGCAAACGCGGAAACGGTCTGGGGGTTTCCTGTGTTCGAGCCTACAGGCGCGGTGGGGCCTCGGCCTGGCCCAGGGACGTGCTGTAACTGGAACTCTCAAAAAGCGAGCCGTCCCTCTACAGGCTGCAGCACGGGGGAGCCTCGAAGACGTTATGTTCAGGGCAAGAAGTCGGAGGCACAAGAACACATATTGTGTGAAGTTCTTAGAAAAGTCGTCATCAGGGACAAGAGAGGCCGGGGAGCTAGTGTTTAACGCGCGCCACATTTAGCATGATGGCAGCACAGCTGTGTGGACGGACATAGGCCACTGAATTGAACGGTCAGCACGAACGGTCAGCAATGCTGACCATTCTGTGTGCTGGATTCCCACCCCCAGCACACATGCGGGAGCTCACTGCGGGCACCGCTGTCAGCTCATGGCCCACAGAGACTGCAGGCCAAGCTTGGGCCCAAGCCAGTTTGTTCTGGATCCCAAGACCCACGGAACAAAGTGCCATGAAAAATTCAAGAACACGTGCAAGTCGTTGTTCTTTTTATTTTATTGTTAACATGTTTAACAGATTTCATAGTTACTGTATTCCAGTAATTAAAATACCGTATTTGACAGGGCTCTTTAAGATGAGGAAGACAAGGTGCATATGGTAATGCATATGAGAACCTACAGTCCTGTCCGTGTTATGTTAAGAGGGATAAGGAAGATAAAAATGAATAAACTGTGGTGTCTGCATGGAAGTTTAAAAGGTAGCCTGAAAGATGTAAGAAAGACTGAAAAGGCAGCTGTTCCACTGCCCACCTGTGACTATGCAGGTGTTGCTTTCCTCCCGCGCTCTCTGCAGGCAGCAGCCTCCTTGCCTGCCCATGACCGTGCCAGGACTTCTCTGCATTGACCTCCCCCCCCAGAGGATGCTCCCTCTGCAAGCCTGTCCCTTTGGGGCAGCTCTTCCTGCCCACTTGCACCTATGCAAGTATCTTTTCCTTGCCTGTCTCTTTCTAATAAATTTACTCTTCAAATATATTTAAGAAAAAAAAAAGACTGAAAAAAGGCAAAATATTCTGTATCAATTCAGCTTTGAAAGTTTGCTATTAGGGCCTGTACCATTTCTATTTTCTTCCCCACTTTTTTTGGTGCGTAGTAAGCCATTTTCTCTCCTGTGTTGGGGAGGAGAGAAAAATACCACATTATAACATTAAGCATACTGTAAACATCTGTTTGGACTCTCCCCTTTTTACAGTTTTTGTGAACTTTAAAAGGTCCTCAACTCTTTACAATCTGACTTTAAAAGCAACATATTCCTTAAAAAAAAAACCGAGTCTTCTAGATTTAAAGTTAGTGCTAGACCAAAAAACAAACCAAAAAATCAAGCCAGAAGCCTCTTTCAAATTAGATAATATACATAGACAAAAGATATTGTTTATATTATCTTTTTTTTTTTTAGATTTTATTTATTTATGCATACAGAACTGGGGTACAGGCCAGAGGTGCAGGGGCGGTGAGAGGATTCACCAGAAACAGTGTGGAGCACAGAACAGGCAGCCAGCGAGACAGGAGAGGTCTGCTGTGCCATGTGGGTCAGCTCCCTGGCGGGGATCACACTCGCCCTGAAGCTGCCACGGATTGGCTTACTTCCCAGTGCAGCACTCCAACTCCCTGCACCACCAAGAAGGGTTTGTTTACATTATCTATTTCTGGTACAGACATAACAAATACAATGTTATTGTGCCCATGGATTATTTTAAAACTTTATTCTTTAAAGCAGTTTTAGGTTTACAAAACCAAATTAGGACAAAAGTACAAAAGGTACAGAATCCCCCTCCCAGGCATGGCCTCTTCTTTCAATTGTCCTCCCCAGGATGGTACATTATTTTTCAAGGATGAACCTACTTCGGCAAAATACAATCACCCAAAGTTCACAGTTTACATCAGGGTTCACTGTTAGTGTACATTCTGTATATTTACACCCAGAAAGTATCACAGAATATTTGAACTGCCTTAAAGCCCTCTGTGTTCTGCCGATTTATCACTCCACCACTCCCATTTCCCACTCACTGAGCTTTTTGCTGTTTCCAGTTTTGCTTTTTCCAGAATGTTATACTGTTGGAGTCAGACTATGAAACCTTTTCCGACTGACTTTCACATCAAATGTATTTAAGTTTCTCCCATGTCTTTTTATAGCTTGATAGCTAATTTCCTTTACCTCTGAGTAATATTCCACATTCATGTAATATTATCCAAAAGTGCCATACTGAATAATAGGTTCATTTACTGAATAATATCTTGGTTGCTTCCAAGTTTTGACACTTATGAATAGAGCTGTTGAAAGCATCTTGTGTGGAGGTTTTCATATGGAGCTACATTTTCAACTCTCTTGGATAAATAATAAAGATGTGATTGCTGGATCATAAAATAGGAATATGTTTTGTTTTATGAGAAACCACCAAACTGTCTATTTTGCAGTCCCAACACTGTGAGTTACTCCTGCCCTAAATTCTAGTCAGCATCAGATGTTGTCCACGTTCCCAATTATGGCCACTCTAACAGGTGGACAGCAGTATCTCTTTGTTTTAATTCACACTTCGTTGATAACAAGGTGTGAAACATCTTTCGCATGCTGACCTGACATACCTTCTTTGGTGAGGCCTATTAAGGTCTTTGACCCATTGCATTTTTCTTTTCTTATAGTTAACTTTCAAGAATTCTTTGCACATTTTGGGACTGAGTCCTTCATCACAGGTATCTTGCAAATATTTTCTGCCAATCTGTATTTTGTCTTTTAATTCTGATTCGGAATTAGGACCTCACCTGACAGAGCAGGATGGCTCACCTCTGGTCCACAAGGCTAGAGTCTCTTTGGGACCCAAAGAGTCTTCTCTTTATTCTTCTATTTTCTGGAATTTCACAGTGGAGCATCATTACTTTAATGACGAGGAAATAACTATGTGTATTTTATAGATTACCTTAAGAACAAGCAAAAGGCCATGCCCCTTTGACGTAAACTATTTGTTAAAAAAAGAGGCCAGGTTGCAAAATGGAGATACTATAGATTCCAAGAGAAAGATGCAGAAATGAAGCTCCAGACTTTAACTTGGACAGATGACGCTAGGGAAGATACCGAAACTAAGAAAACCCAGGCAGGAGTGCAGGAGACAAAGCAGAGACATACGGTGTGAAATTACTGTAACAGGATTTATATCCTGGAGTTGGGGCAAAGAATATGAATGGAGAGGGAGCCAGAGAAGGGAAGAAGAGTGAGTACAAGGAACAACAACCAGCACATGACCAGCCCCTGCCTGTCCTACCATAGATCAGGTCCACTGAGCAAAGACCAATGTCCAGAGCAAATCCATGCATGGCAAGCTGGCAGCTTCTGTACAGACACCCTTTCTCACTAGCAGTTTAACTGTCAGAAGCTCAGCAGCTCAACTGACAGGAGCCCCAACAGATTTCAGTGCCCAGAAATTCTGTGGTTTTAACTACCAAAAGCCCCCCCCCCCGTCCCATTTTAATGGTCACAAAGCCTCAGTCCCGCTCCATTTCCCATCAGCCCACGCATAGGAGGTGGAGACTGGAAAGCTCTATCCTAACAGGTAGTCCACCAGAGACTGATCTAGAGAGCACCACCTTCTCCCATGGAGTTGGCTATGAGCGCCACCCACTGGCTGGTTAGTGGATCCCCACTGTTCCTCTTAGTAACTTCCCTTAGTAACTCTGGGAGAATCTAGGCTGGGGATACTCAATACTGCAGGCCTACCTGCTCACTTGGTCATTATGGACAAATCTCAGGTGGCAGAGGCTGACAATTCAAAATAGTAAATTCAGGGCTCTTGCAGCTCGAGACCAAGGTTAGAATCTCTGCCTCTAACTAGCTCAAAGAGCTCAAGCAAATTAACGACCTGAATCTGGTTTCTCCTCTGTAATATGGAAAACTACCTACATTCTAGAATTTTTGTGCAGAGCAACTGATACAACGTAGGCAATTAACTTAGTATGGTGCCTGCACCTCAGAAAACGACCATTTTAAGAACCATTTGTGTATCCTATTGAGATGTCGGTATTTATATGTTTACATGTTTCGATAAAAGGTTTAAACACATAAAGTAGGTTGGAAGGTCAGCCTTTTGAAAGTAAAACTGCAAGTTTCAACAGATTCCAAAGGCAGGAAGGATATTCCGTATTTGCAACTGTATCTACAATTATCTTAGACATGATCTTTCTGCAGGATCCAGAAGTAACTAAGTAGCCGTATTCTACATGCTAGCAACTACTGAGCAAAAACCTGGCAGACGCTTTCTATTTGTCTGTGTCTCCTGTTCCAGCGAGCTCTGTCTCTGCTGCCAGGGAGATTCAGAGATCTTTTGCGCAGAAAATGGCTCGGTTCTCAGGTAACTGTCTCTTACCCACGCTTCCTGAGAGCTGTAATCCAGCCTGCAGAAGAATGTGATAAGTGTTCCTCGGGTGTTCTCAAACAACTGCTGCAGCGTCCAGCATCGTTCTCACACCCAACCGGCGAGCACCCCACAATCTTCCCTCCACCTCTTTTTCTCACCTCCTAACCTTGAAACACATCCCTGCAGCCCCGCCCCCCGCCGCCGACCAATCAGAGGGTTGCAGGGAGCCGGATGGGGCGGGCCCAATTCGGCGCTGGCGACGAATCAACAACCTCACACAGCGGAGGCGGAAGCGGAAGCCCCGGTTTGGCCTGGGGTTCCGTCGTGGGGGATGTCCCGCGGGAGTGAGTGTGGAAATCCTGGGGCCGGCGGCTTTGAGTCCTCACCACCCTTCTAGCCGCAACCTCCGGCGAGGATACGCCGGCGAGCGCGGGAGGCAGGCAGGCGGGCCGCCCAAGGACAGCGCGAGCGGACAGGCGGCTGCGGGGCCGGAGCGAGCTGTGTTTGGGGTCCTCCGAGGCCGGTGGTGGTGCCGCCGCTATCCCCGAGGCCATGGTGCAGGCGGAGCTCTGGGCGATCCCCAGGTGAGGGCAGCAGCTCAGCCCGGCTCCCGGGGGCTCCACTGCGGAAGCACTGGGTGGATGCGGGGTGCGGAAGAGAGGATGCTGCCCGCACTGCTCCCCGGTAGCACCCTGAGCGGCCGCAGTTGCGGCGGCGGCAGCAGCAGCAGTAGCAGAAAGCACAGCGCAGGCCAAGGAGGCGACTGGAGCTGCTGGTGAAGTGGCCTAATAGCTCTTTCTCCGTAGTATGCAAGTTGAGAAAACAGCCAAAGAACAGGGCTCCCCATCATTATCTCCTTCGAGCTCTTTTTCCTTGCCACGCGGAGCTGACCTATGCGGAAACATGCCTTGCACTTGCACCTGGAGGAACTGGAGACAGTGGATTCGCCCTTTGGCGGTGGTCGTCTACCTGGTGTCCATAGTGGTCGCCGTTCCCCTGTGCGTGTGGGAGTTACAGAAACTGGAGGTAAGAGTCCTGCACAAACGGCAGCCACCCTTGCTTCTGCCGTTCCGCCCACCTAAGGTTGCCTGCCCTCTTTTGTCCCGGACACCCTGAGCTTCGTATCCTGAAAACGGTGCTCTGTAAAGGAGCCCAGTCTTAGCCCACAAACCGGCCTGGTTTCTTGTTCACGGTTTTTCAAAACAGGTTGGGGGGAGCGGCGCGGGGGTGAGGTGGGGGTGGGAAATAAGCTGGAATAAGAGAGCACTTGGGTACGACACCGCTTTGCAGGTACTCATCGATTTCCTGAAAGCGAGGTAATTTTATTCCTGAAATCTGATCTGCTGAGATACTGGACCTAACTAGACCATATAAACTCCCTGGAAAAACCTTGTCATGAATTGTATTAGAATTTAACTAGCTTCCTGAACTAAAGGATTCTATATGGCTTAACTTTGTTGTTCGTTTTTACTTTAAAAAATTTGTTCTTAACCAACAAAGGTTTTGCAAAGTCTCTTGCTTATTTTTGATGTCATCTTGTTATTATGACATCAGTAAAGTACTGCAAACTGGAAAACCCCAGGGAAAATACTTAACAAATGTTATAAAATGAGCTTTAATTTTGGAGTTAATAGAAACCAGAAAATATTTTTACTTACTAACACCTATTTCACCGGTGCTATGATGAGACCGTGACTATTTTCGGCTCTTTATTTTGGAAAAGATTGCTACGTAACTAAACAATATTTTTAACATATATTTATCTTCTGTATGGTCATTAAATTATTTTATGTTGATTTCCATTCTGGCATAATCTGTAATTATTTTTAGTGCTAATATTTTACTACATTATATATTTTCCATTTGTCACATGTTTAACTTATGTCTATAATTTGTTTACCAAAGTGCAAGTAGAGACATTTTAATGCAGATGAGGATATCTTTTAAGTAATTTTGGGAGTATATTATAGGAACTATTCATATATATATATATTTATTTACTAATTTTTACTAATTTTGTTTTCCTGCCCAGTTGTCTGATACTTGCATTAATAAATGATGACTTTGAACCCAGTGATAAGTCAGGCTTGTCTTCTGTATGGTGAGAGAAACATAGCACCTTCCTTCCTGGAATTTAGTGGCAGACCTACACAACCACCAAAAGTAGATCAAGGAAATAAAATTGTATATAAGGCTATGGATGAACTTAAAAAGATCTCAGTAGTGAACTGGCAGGGCAGTCTTCTTGCACATTCTGAGAGGTCACTTACTAACAATAGGAAATAGAAGGAAAGCTCTTTGGTTGGTAAGAAGAGGTGGTACCTGGGTTCCAATGACACATGGACCACATCAGGAAAGCAGACTTCAAAGTCTCTTTGGAATGAAGAAGCAGAAGTTGGCAGTGGGTTGGACTAGGGGAGAGTCAGTGAGGGAAAGTAGGAAACCAAGGACCCGTCTGGGGTTTATGTCTTGAACAGCTGAATAAATATCAGTTATTGAAGTGGAAAATTGACAAGGGCAGATTTGAGGAAAACTAAATTCTTCTTTGGATTCTTACTTATGTGAGAGATATTGGGACGGGCATGTCAAATATGCAGTTGGATCTATGACTCTAGAAAGGTTTGAGCTAGAGGGTGTGTATGTGTGTGTGTGTCTGTGTGTGTGTGAGAGAGAGAGATGTCACAACAGAGATGGTATTTAAACCTTTAAGGAGAGATGAGATTATAGGGAAGAAGTAAAAAAGACTGAGGAGGGCCTCCCTGGTGGCAAGGGGTTAAGTTAAGTGTCAACACTATGAAGCTCTCCCAAGCCACTGCAGAGGAGTTCAATCCTCAGCCAGGGAGCTGACCCACATGGCGCAGCAGACAGCTCCTATCTCACCAGCTGCTCTCCTCAGCAGTGTATTTCAGTCAACCTACCTGTTCTGCTCCCCACTCGGTCTCTGGTGAATCCTCTCACCACCCAGCACCTTTGGCCTACACCCCAGCTCTTGTATGTATAAATAAATAAATAGCAAAAATCTTTTAGAAGGCTGAGGACCTAGTACCAACATTTAGAGGTCAAGTAGAGGACTAGGAACTTCAAAAAAAAATAAAAGCAGCATGCAATGGAACACCAGGATGTGAAAACTGAGGCAGTGAAAGTAGCTAAGTGACATTGTGCCTAGCATGTTTCCTGCAATATCCTCATAATTGTCTTTATTATTATTATTATTCACATAAATGAGTTTGTGTATATAAATGGTTACCTCTGTGCCCAGTACATAGTAGCTGCTCAGTAAGCTCCAATTACTGTTGTTTTTAAAACAGCACTATTACTACATTAGAGCAACAACTTTCTCATATAGCTTCTTAGTTGGGACTAGGTTCTCGATTGAACACCTACAGCGGTTTTCCGCATTTACTTCAACACTGGATAAAACAGTTTAGTGCGTAGGGAAAGTTTGTGTGAAAAATACTTGTCTTAAACCCTAGTACTAACACGTGAGCACTGTGAAAAGGCAGTGGGAACAGAGTGCACCCCATGCCCAGAGTGGACAAGTGTTCGCTTACTGGAATGGCAGGGTGCCTGCACCTGCACTCTTTAAGTTGTTTCTCTCACTTGGCCAAGCATGTGTGTAACTGAAGTCAAATCTTGAAATGCAGCCTGGAGGCCAGGCTGCTCTGTAGTCCCTTCTCTGCCCCCTGGTCCTCACGCCCAGCTGCCACCCTGGTGTCAGGAGGGTGGTCCTGACGCAGCTCTGCCCTGTTCCTCTCTGCTCTCCACTCTGCAAGCATTTGGCAGAGGGAGAACCAGCTCACCCCCCGATGCTTGTCGCTAATCTTCTTTCTTTTCCTCTCTCTTTTCCTCAAGTTCCCTTAGGGGGAAAGTCAACTCCAATTATCTCTTCATCCTGTGAGCCCAAAACACTACTCATGACTGATTGTTCTACAGTGATGTTAATGTATCCTTAAGTCAGTCTAACTTATTTAGAGATCAGTGTAAATTAGATGAAAATAAGTGGGGTAGTTAGTAATTTTTGCAGATAGCTAATGTTGACTTACATACTTAAAATAGGTGCAGCTCTATGCATATTACCTTCATATAGTAAAAAATCAAAGTAGCTATAAAACAAATGCTTTCAACTTAAAAGCATTCATGTGGACAGATGATTTTTTTCCTTTTAAATTGTCACTTGCAGTGGAAAATGGCCCTCTGTTGCCACGCAAGTTTTTATTGTTCTTTTTTTAAATCTGGCATCTCTGTACTGTAGTGATTCAGTCTCCTGTCACTTGACTTAATGAAGGGTGGGAAGAACTTTCCTCCCTCCAGCACACACAGGAGTTTGACCTTCATGAATCACAGCTCATCATTTTTCTCTACCGTCTAGAGACTCCTTGGCACACAGACGGATGTTAAAAATAAACATGGGCAGCTGAAATGGAAAAAGGCACAAAATGATGTAAAAATAAACTATCATCTTTTTTTAAAAAAAAAAGACTTATTTTCAAATATGAAATATGCATAATTACTAAAAATTTTCCCAATTAAATAAATAAACATGGGCATGCTTTTAATGATCACCCTGTAATAGAGAATATCTAGAATATGTTTTTGTTGTTGTTATTTTAGATCATTGTTAAAATGAATATGCACTCTAAATGAAATTGTGCAAAGCAAAAATTTCTGAAAAATGATTACTATAATTTCAGATGTTCCTTTTGTACATACTTACTTTCCTCTTACTTCTTTGATTAATCTCCAGTGTTCAGCAAGACTTTTGTATTTGCATTTCCAACTGTTCCTGCCTTTTTCCTTAGAAATTCATTGTTGTAAAATACATTTGTTCTTCATACTTTTGTATTTTATTTCTTTAATCTTTGGCCCTTGATGGGAAATAGATTTCTACATTGTATAGTTAACTGAAAAGCCTCTCAGGTTCCAGAATAAATGCATACCTTTTCCCTTTCAAAATGTAGCATATGCTTTTAAAAAAAAAAAATAGTATTCACAGTCTTTAAGATAAGGGTACAAGTTAGTATAAAATCAGTTCCCCGGTACCCCTCAAATGAATACTGGGGAAACAAACATAAATTTGTTTTTACCAGAAAGTGAGTAAGCTACAATTCTGCCTTAGGAAGAGGTGATTCAAAATATGTTTTTAGAAGTTGAACTTTTAAAGAATAAAATACTGATCAGTTACTGGCCTACAAACAAAATCCATGATTATTTAAATAGTAATATCCTAGATGAATGCCTTTGTATTTAGGGATAGCGTGTGATCGCACAGTGTGGACAGTGGTATTGGCAATGCTTAGCAGATGGAAGGGTTAACAGAGATTATGCCTGTGAAGAACTTAAAGTACCAGACAGACAGTCAGCACTCAATAAATATTCGCACTTAGTGCCTGGGAACAGTAAAATATGCAGGAAATACATATCCATTTGTATAGCCTACAGATAAAAAAGCAAAGGAATAAACCAGTAAAAGAATTTTACATTTAACTTGCAAGGATTTTAAAAAACTTCTCTACATCTCCAGCCACCATCAACTCTGAAAAGTAAATAACAGATTGGGAAATAGTAACATGACATTGCTATTCTTACTGTAGCCCACGTGAGAAAAATCTACCTCCTCCCCACTCAAAAGCGCAACTGGGCTCTTTACTAAGAAGAAATAAAAATAGCAACTGATCATTTGGAAAATATTGGACCTTATGTATCATCACATAGATGAAGGTTTGAGGGGAAAATTTAGTTTGAATATCAGAGAATTGATGTGGACATGTTCTTTGGCTTCTCGAGGTTGGGATACACACCAAGGCGTGGTTTATCGCTGGGATCTTTTTGCTGTTGACTATACCTATCTCGCTCTGGGTGATACTGCAGCACTTAGTGCACTACACGCAACCCGAGCTACAGAAACCAATTATAAGGTAAATTTTATATTTTGGTCCTGCTAGTGTGGTGTTGGCTTACAAACATGATATTAAATGTTTTTTGTTTTGCTTTCCAAATAGGATTCTTTGGATGGTACCCATATACAGTTTAGATAGTGTAAGTATGTTTTATTTTATCTCGTTAGCCCAAAACACTATTTGATAACACTATACTTACAGAAAGCTTCAGGTCACAAAAGTGTGTCATTTGGCAATTAGGAGCCAGATTAATAAATGTGAAAAGGTTCACGTGTTTTTTATTGTTGATGAAGACTGGCAATCTATTGATGTTCCCTTTGTTTCATCATTTAAAATTTCAGATTAACTCTTCATTCTTTTAAAATAGAATGTTTTATATTGTCATCCTTTCATTTGTTAAATCTTTTATCTGGGCAAAAAAATATTTCCCCACTCCCTTCAAACTCTCATGGTTGTGACAGATGGCTACTTTAGTTTGATCAAGTTGAACTGTTCTCTAGTAACAGTTTGTGTGGTCATGTCACGTTAAACTTCAGATTATATTTAAGAACTCAAGTATGTGATTTAGCTTCTCCATATTCATTATTTCCCGCCACACCATTTACGTTTTTGTTTACCAGTGTTCAAAATTTTTATTACTTTTAAAAATTAATTTCTCAGCTTGTCTGGTAGCCTTCAGGATGATAAATTTTACAAAGTTTGATGTTAAGTATGTGAGAAGACATCTCAAATTTAAAAATCAGCTCTTTGAATACCATGAATTGGAAGTAGTGATTCATTTTATCTTAATTGCATCTTTTTTAACACCTGTTCTTTACCGTAGTGGATAGCTTTGAAATATCCTAGCATCGCAATATATGTGGATACTTGCAGAGAATGTTATGAAGCTTATGTCATTTACAACTTTATGGTATTCCTTACCAATTACCTGACAAACCGGTATCCAAATCTGGTATTAATACTTGAAGCCAAAGATCAGCAGAAACATTTCCCACCTTTATGTTGCTGTCCACCCTGGACTATGGGAGAGTAAGTATGTTTGGTTTTAATTAATGTTCTCTTTTAGTTAAGCAGAGTTTCTAAATATCAATCAGCAAAGCAGTAAGCTAAGTATAGTTGTTTCTTTGTCTCAGCCCTCTCTCTATTCTGGGTGATTTCTGTGGCAACCTATAGGTACATCTTCCAGTGCTTTATTTCTTACCCCTTTCCAAGGTGCCTAATTGGTTGTCTGACCCTCTGCATAGTTGCCACAGGTTTGATTTAAAAATAAACTCATAAGACACTGTTGGTTTAAGACAGTTCCAGCTAAATTTAGTCTTCTGGGACAGCAGGCCCAGCCTGCAGAGCCAGAGCATCCTCATCAGGGGGTCTCGCAGCAAGTCTGAGTGCAGCACATAGCCCCGCCCCCGCGCAGGTGTGGGCACCCGGCTCTCAGGGCATGTTGCGTCCAGATACAACGCCTCAAGGGCTTTCTACCTCTCAGTCTCAGTCTGACTCTTAGATTAGGGAACTCACAGGTGTCATTGTCCTGGAGTCCTGGGACTGCGGGGTAAGCACAACCTCCCAGGCAGCTGGTCCTGAGCAGGACTTTACACAAGGCTCTCAGGGCTTTTTTTATTTGGTTGTAACTGGGTTTTTTTGAGTCGTTTGTTTTTTAAAGATTCATTTGTTTATGCATCAGAACTGTGATACAGGCCAGAGGTGCAGGGGCGGTAAGAGGATTCACCAGAGACAGTGGGGAGCAGAACAGGCCGACTGATGAAGTACACTGCTGAGGGGAGTAGCGGGTGGGTCAGGAGAGGGCTGCCGCGCCATGTGGGTCACCTCCGGGGCTGGGGATAGAACTTGTGCTGAAGAGCAGTGGCCAGCTTCATAGTGCTGCACTCTTAACCCATTGCACCACCATGGAGGGCCCTGAATTTTGTTTTATTACTCCTTATAAGTGCCCCCTCAGCCTTCTATGCTTGAACACAGGAGTAGAGTGTAAACTGATGCAGGACCTTTGTTTTGACCTTTCAGAGTAGCTAATCAGTGTTCTCTGGTATATTTAAATACCAAACGTGAAAGGAAACAGAAAGCTAAGTGTAAATAATATTTCCCAATACATTTTCACATACACACATGGGTCCTTTGTTACTTAGTTTTTCTTCCAGAAACACAAATCTTCTATTTTTTCCTTTTCTGTATTACACTGTTTAGAAGTTTGAGGCTATTCACACACACCAAAAAAAAAAAGGTCTTTCAGAAGATTTGGTTGTTGACTAAATCCAAACATAGTATTTAAATAATTTGGTTGCTGCTATTTTCATTCTTAGCCGATTGCCACTTAGAATAATTAAATTAAACATGGCACTCTGAAAGTATAAGCAAGTAGTTGAATGCTCTGCCCTTTTTCTTTTCCAGAGTATTGTTGTTTAGGTGCAAGCTGGGTGTGTTGCAGTATACAGTCGTCAGACCGTTCACCACCATCGTCGCTTTGTAAGTGCGCCCACCTTGTGTTGTTTTGTTAGAGCCTCACGCTCATAATGTGGAGCAAATGAATAAAAATACTATAAAATGTGTTAAATTACTTATTTATTTACATATAATACAAGTCTAGCCTGTTATTAAAAAAAAACAGTGTTTACAGACTATTCTCTTAAAAATAATATAATGTGGCCATTTGTAGCCAAATACCAGTCACAGAGTTGCTCTAAAAAAAACTATGTACAGAGCTTTCTGGAAAGCCTTTGAAAAATAGGGAGGAGAGCACCAGGAACTGAGCAGGGCCTGGCAGTGTCCTGTAGGTCCTCAGTTGGGGGCACCCTGGAACTGTCGCCTGAAGGGAATGCCTGTGCTTCTCTAGCGAAAGCAACAGAATAAGTCAATGTTGGTGCAATAAAAAAATGTTTCAAAATATACTTTATTAAATATTAACATTCACAGAAAAATGTGTTACATGAAGTTAGAGTGTACTGTTTTAGGTTAATTACAGTTTTGTTTTCTACAGAGATAACTCAGAATATATCATAAGTGCAATATTCTGAGTAAGAAATCCATTTTCTTAATATTTGTAGAAAAAAAATTTGTTTTTTAATTTTCCCAGCTCCATGACCAAAATCAATTGATGAACAGGATCCTTTCAAAGAAAATAACTTCTGAATTTAACTGTTGCTGTCAATGCTGTGTTTTAAAGAACATTGTGATTTAGTGATTTTTGTTTTTTTAAGATTTATTTATCGTGTTGAACAGGAGTACAGGCCAGAGGTGCAGGGGCCATGAGAGGATTCACTAGAGACAGTGGGGAGCAGAACAGACAGATTGACAAACTACACTGTTGAGGGGAGCAGCGGGGTGACAGGAAAGGTCTGCTGCACCGTGTGGGTCAGCTTCCCAACTGGGGATCAAACTCGTGCTGAAGTGGCTGTGGCTAGCTTCATAGTGCTGTGCTTTAACCCGGTACACCACCAGGGAGGCTCATTGAATGTTATTTTTTATTGTTTTCTAGAATCTGTGAGCTGCTTGGTGTATATGACGAAGGGAACTTTAGTTTTTCTAATGCTTGGACTTACTTGGTTATAATAAATAATATGTCACAATTGGTAAGTAAAGATTTATCTTTTTAAATTGTTTTCAATATTTAACCCTAAATATTCTTAGGGAAAGTTTCTTTCTGGAATAAAACTTGTTACTTTTTAATGTGAAATTTGATTTATAGGAAGAATTTAATGTTAACATAGATCTTTATAGATGCATTAAGATATAGTAATGTCTTTAAATTATTTAGTGACTTGTACCCTGACCTTTTGATTGTGTTCATTTGATCATTGCATAGTTATATAAACATGTCATAAATAAAAGCTTATTCTTTAAAAACACACACACAGCTATCATGTGTATATTCACAGAGAGAAAGTGTGTAATTGTTCGGTGACAGTACAGGATTTGAGTAAATATCAGACAGTAAAATCCTACGGAACTAAAGGAAAATTAAGAACTTCAAGTTTGAAGAAATAATATTCTAGGAACTAAAATACTGTAAAGGTAGAATTATGTGATTTTTTTCACTTAAGACTGTACATTTAAAAAAAAATCTTTGATGAATGCTTTCAGCAAAATAATAGTTATAGTGCCACATGATATGCTGTTAAGCTTTTTAATAATTAAATGCTGTATATCTAAAGCTTTTCCTTATGTTCAAACTCTTGAAGCCAATACTTCATTTCTAAGACTGCATCCTTAGCAAATGATGCTCTTTGATGCTCTTTGTATAAGAGGCCTATTATATCAGCAGAAGCTGGAAGTAATCCAAAGTCCAGGGAAGGTGACTAATTAAATAAACTATAGTTCTCCTACTGACCAAAATAGTCTGCCATCTTAAAAATAATACTTATGAAATATATGCAGAGCACTTTGGGGGAGAAAGTCAGGTGACAAATTGTGATATTTAGTTGTGAATATCTGTTACAAACTACCTTAATGTATAGAAGTGGTTGGATATTGGGACAAAGAATAAGTTTACTCTTTCTTTACTGTTTTCATATTCTAAAATACTTGATATAAGCATTTTGTATTAATGAAAAACGGTATTAGGAACACTATTCCTATGTAATACTATACTAGGTCAGTAGAAAGATTTCTAAAAATGCTTAGCAAATAGTGAGCATTTATTTTAAAAAATAAACTCAGAGGGAGTAGCATACTACTCTAAAGAAAAATTATTCCCATCTCTCCTTAGTTTCAGATATGTCTCAACTTTGCTAAAATTGTACTTAATGTTGTCTTATAAGTAATATTCATAAAATATTATATATACTAATAAATAAGCCCAGTCCTTAAAAAGTTAACAGTCATTTATGAATAGAAGTCTTAAGTAAGAAAATGTTGTTTGGGCTGAGAGCCTTTTCTTCCATTCTTAGCAGTCATTTGTTCAGTTTTCTTTATGATTTTTCATGAGTGAACACTTAAAAATATTTTAGGAACTGTGTTACACATCTGAGAAATTTCATATAATGTATGTCCACAACAACTTATAAAATCCTGCTGTTAGTCTAAAAATAACATAATAGAGCCTAGAAAAGATTTTTCCTAAAATGTTACTCTAAAATAGGTATTTGGTGTAGTAATTAAATATTTCTTTTGCCATATTTAGTTTTTCTTATTGAAGACATTTGTTAATCTTAATTGTTTCTAGTTTGCAATGTATTGTCTCCTGCTGTTTTATAAAGTACTGAAGGAAGAACTGAGTCCAATCCAACCTGTTGGCAAATTTCTTTGTGTAAAGCTAGTGGTTTTTGTTTCTTTTTGGTAAGTATCTCTTTCTCTTAAATATCCTGATTGCTGTAAGGGCAAAAAAATTTGTTAATTAAAGAGGATTTTTTAAATATTAATACATTCAAATTTAAATGTCTGTTTACCTTGTAAAAGTCCATTCTTTTAGTCCCTTTGGGTTTATTATGATCAGATGATCATTGTAACACTTGTAAGAAGAAATTTGAGGCAACCTAAATGCCTCAACACTCATTAAAATAAATCATGGCCCTAACAAAATAACAGAATTTTAAAAGATAAGCATGATACAGAATATCTAGTGACTGGGAGATATTTGTAAGTAAAGGCATTTGTTTAGACAGTAAAACTATACACGCTCCCATGTCTGTAACCTGGCAGGTGACCGGAGCCGAAAAACAAATTCACCTTACTTAATAATAGTGCAAAAAAAGGGAAAAAGAAAAATCCTTGAAATTCCATCTCCCAGAAAGAACCATCAACATTTTGGTGCAATAATGCCATGTAAAACTGCTGAGATAGGGCCCTCCCTGGTGGCACAGCAGGTTAAAGCACAGCACTAGGAAGCTGTCACAGCCACTGCAGCATGAGTTTGATCCCCGCCCTAGAGGTGGCCTGCATGGTGTGGCAGACCTCTCCTGTCTCACCCGCTGCTCTTCTCAGCAGTGTACTGAATCCGTCTGCCTGTTCTGTTCCCCACTGTCTTGGGTGAATTCTCTCACCACCACCACCACCCCCCATATCTCTGGCCAGCACCCCAGTTCTTATGTGCATTAATAAATCTTTTAAAAAGAACTGCTGAGATAGTCTCATTCTGTAGAAAATTGCACAACTCAGTCTGGCCAGTACACCAGAGGTATTTTTGGTGAGTAAATTTAGAATATAATTTTCTTTGGGTTTTTGTTACTTTGTTATATAGATAAGTTCTTAACCAATCTCCTATTGGCATTTAAGCTCTTACTCTTTAACATTATAAGCAATATTGAAGCCATTACTCTTCTCTGTAGAACTGTGAAAGCTTGTCTGGCTCACTAATAGCTGTTAATAGTTAACTGAGGGTAATGTCCCCAGATGGGCTTGAAATGCTCAGCATGATCTCAGTCTTAAAGGCAGACCCCTTCTGAGTCTGGCTCTAGTTTCAGTAGTTAAAATAAAACTAGTTTTAAATGCTTGTTTTTAAAAAATAAAATCTGAATAAATCAGTACATGTGTATATAACATTTGAGTATCCTTCATTTCATCTTGAATGTGGAGGAAAGACTTAAAAATCTAATGAACTGTAAATTTTGAAAACAAAAGACATCAAATTAAAACTTGGGTGACAAAGCTACACAAGCAGAATAAATTTATAAAGGAAATAAATGTACTTATATACACAGTGTCTTCAAGACTGTGCTGTGAAGGTGGGGTGGCAGCGGGGGTGGTCCACAGATTGTACTGGGGTTTAACTATTTTAAACGGCATATTTTTAAAACAACTGCCCATTTTATGCTTGATATAGATTTGGCGTTTACCTTTTCCTAACATATAGGCAAGCAGTAGTTATTGCTTTGTTGGTAAAAGTTGGCGTTATTTCTGAAAAGCATACGTGGGAATGGCAAACTGTCGAAGCTGTAGCTACAGGACTCCAGGTAAGTAGAACTATGTCTGAACCCATTAAACATTGTTAAGCATTTTTATATATTGTCTCTTCAGTCTGAACTTATAGGCTATTGGGCTATTATAGCCTCACTGTACAGGGAGGAAACAGGAAACCCTAGAGAAATCAGCCATAGTTAATTGACAGCAATACCAGAACCTGGTAGAACCTAGATTTTGTTATTCCTAGTCTAGTGCTCTGTGTTTCTCCTCTTTGTTTTGGGTGGTGGATTGTGGGTGCATTGTACTTTGCTAAGAAATATTTGACCAAGGCAAAGGACAGATGCAATTTTTTTTAAAGATTCGAAATAATTTTTTAAAACAAACAATGAATATAACCATGAAAAAAGAAAAAGAAAACCCAGTAATTGACACTTAGGACTTTTGGAAAGCGTCCTTTACTATGAAGCTAGATTGACACTCAGGACGCTGATGACGTCCCTGATGCTGCTGTTGCAGGACTTCATCATCTGCATCGAGATGTTCCTCGCCGCCATTGCTCACCACTACACGTTCTCATATAAACCTTACGTTCAGGAAGCAGAAGAGGGCTCGTGCTTCGATTCCTTCCTTGCCATGTGGGATGTTTCTGATATCAGAGATGATATTTCTGAACAAGTAAGACATGTTGGTAAGTACCGGTCATTTAACTCCATCCCAGTTGGCAGGTGACTGTACTTGCTATAGCTCCAGTCGCCACTGAAGAGATGAAGGGACCACACAGAGCAGTAAGTACTGCACTAAAGCTCTTCAAGCTGGGGGTGGGGGGAGGGATTATTTTTACTACAAGTTTATTGTGGCAAAAGTAACTCTGGACTAATTTGAAACATTTACATTTTAAAGGAAGGACAGTCATGGGACATCCTAGGAAAAAGTTTTTTCCTGAGGATCAAGATCAAAACGAACACACAAGCTTGTTATCATCGTCATCACAGGACGCAATTTCTGTTGCTTCTTCTGTGCCACCTTCGCCTGCGGGTCACTACCAAGGGTTTGGGCACACCGTGACACCCCAGACCACCCCAACTACGGCTAAGACAAGTGAGGGGATGTTTAATGATGCTACAGAGGAGAAAAAAGAGCATTCAGATAAATCAGTGTCCTCCTGAACGGCGTGCGGAAGCAAACTGTGCTGCCACATTAGTTTCTTACCTGGCGTCCCATTGCTCAGGAGTGTGCGCTTGGGAGAAGCCATGAATGATGGGAATTTCCCCACAAAGATAGGCAGAACCAGGTACAGCTGCTGGGTTTCTATAGGTTTTGTATATCACAAATAATAGGTCTAAATATCCTAGACTTAGACTTGATTTCTTAACACTAGAGTATCACATACTCAAATGACGGGAGGTGACTCTACTAAATGTTCCTGATGCTACATTGCTTTATCAAGAGGATGAACATTTTTAAAAAATCAATGCTTCCTAGCACTGCTGCATGAATATAATGCTCTGGAATTAGCAGAAAGTAATTCAGAAATATCAATTAGTGGAACGTAATCATAATCATGTGCCATATATGCATACCTAAGGATTATTTCTCTATTTCTCAACTGGATGTCTTTCAATAAATTAGAATTTATCATTTATTTTCTGCAACTTTTGTCTCTCTTTAATCAAAAACCCTTATGCTTTAACCAAAAGTTCATGGTTAGAGGCAAAATAAGTTAAAGAAACTATGGGTTAAAAAGTATATTCCTATTCAGAGAAGTATCTAGAGTCTTACTTTAAAACTTGACTATATAAAAATCATTTGTGGTACTGTTAGTAGATTAGATTACCCATGACTTGAGAAGAACAGAAAAACTGGCTGGAAGAATGAGTAAGAAATGAGATAGCTATGATGTATGAATTTCCTCTGTTTTCAAAGTGTCAGCAAATGTAAATCTAGCTAAGAAGTCTTATCAAATTATACAAGACACGTAGGAGCTAGTGGGAAGAAATTTACTCAGGATGAAGTTTCTCTAATTGCTAATCAACCCACTGAGTCATATCTAATATTTTACAATGACAGAGTGTAGTATGTTGTGAGTTTCAAGAATAAGTGTTACTTCTCAAAACCTTTGTTTTATAACAGGCACACACCCATTTATAAATTGATTTACATTAGTTACAGTGTTTTTGTTCTGTCCACTATTATACTCCAAACATTTCTATTGAAAGTAAAATTAGGTGGTATATTATTAGTGGCTAGGAGAACAGGCAGTGTGGAGAGACACTACATCTTTTGTGTGTGCGGCTCAGAGCACACAGTGTACATAAGACATCATTTCCTTATTAATCTCCCTCTGTCAAGTCTTTAAAAACTGGCCCCATTATCTTATATCTTTTACTGTGCATCCAAATCAAAAAATCTTTGGAGTTTTTGTTTCTTTGTCAAAGTATACCAGAGATACTCTTGCTTCCAGAAGAATTTTCCCCCTTTTATTCTCTTAATTACATTTACTTTACAGCTTAAGTTCTTCCAGGTTGCTTTCCCCAAACACAAAACCTGAGAAAGTGTTTTAAAAAGTATACCTAGTATCTAAAACTGGGAATTTACAAATAACCATAACCATCAGTCTTCAGGAGAAGCAAGTTGCTGATGTTTCCAATTGTAAGTTTGAATTTAAGAAAAAAAAAAAAATGCCAAAAAAATTAGCTATGGCTTTACTTACTGATATCTGATAGTAAAACAAAAAGTATCTTTGTAACTTTAGAGAACAGACATGTGTCTAGCAAAATTTAACTGACAGCTGGTAAAACGAACATAAACAGCCTCCTAATTTGGAAAATTGACATTCTTTCCAGAAAAGTCTGCAGCCATGTTTATAATAATTTTACTCCTTAGGATATTTTAAATGTACTTTATTATTATCTATTAAAAAATATGCATTACAAGAAACTAAACCAGTTTTATAATTACAATTCCACTAATTCAGACCAGAAAGATTATGTACTTTATCTCCCACGGACGCAGTTGTCCTAGAAAGCTCCTTTCACTGCTTTACTGTGATGCTGACATTGCTTTTGTGATGCTGGACACAGAGAACAAGTTCCTGTCCCACTTCCACCTGGATGGGGTGTTGTAAAACGACTGCCGCTTGTTTCCAGTGGGAGGCCTCGCTGGAAGTGTCCAGCTTAATCTCTTCATCAAGGTACATGTGATACCAAAACGGAATGGCCGTCACTTGTCCAGATTGACAAATGTGAACCTATGAAAATCCAGAAATCATGAAAATTTCACCAAAGGAAAGAGTGTTTGTTTTTCTGTCAATTTAGTTCCAAATACAACAAATACATTTAATCACCCAATTCAAATTGGTATTGACTTATTTTATCCATTAATATAACTTAAGTTCAAAAAGAAAGAACATTTAAGTCTTAAAGTGGCTAAAACTATGGTATGCATATATATAAAGTACTGACGTGACTATGACAACAGTGACTTATATTACCTTTACTTCTGTGTAGGAGGTGTTCAAGAATGGAGTCATCAGATCTAGTCTTAAGAGTTCCACCGGCTTGCTCAAAGGTGTACAGGGCAATGAAGCTAGGTCCAAAAATACACGTATAGGTACCTAAAGAAAACAAGTTTCCATTTTTATCAGTTCTTTTGGTAGCCAAGGTTCATCAAGCGCTAATGCTTTTTTACATCTACACTTCATTTAGTTTAACTTCCACATCTACCTGAAGCATAAATATTTTGTTGGTTCCAATTTTACTATAAGGATAAACCAAGGTTTAAGGAGATTAAATAATTTGCTGTTTTCATTTGTAACAGCAGTTCAGAGGACAAAATAATTCATAAGTCAGAATTCCTCGACTAATCCAACCCCTAGAGGTTGACATTTATCCATAATAAATTCCTTTGAGGTAAGAAACTTGATTACCTTCTTAACCCAACTAAGTATGACAAGTAGATAAAAATAGAGAGGGATGAGCCAGCCGGTTGAATTTCCACTTACCTGAAACTGGTTAATAAACGGGGCTATATTCAGCCCAAGAGTCCGTTCTGTTCCTTGCACGGCACTCTCTTCCACCAGTGTCTGTGATTCCACAAGCAACCCAAACATTAGGACGTACTGAGGAAAGATCTTGCCTCCAGATTGTAACAAACACCTAGAGGAGAGAAAATGTTTTGACATGCATTTTGATTTCCTGCATTTTCTAAATGCCAGTAACCAGATCAAGATGAATTAGTGAGCAACAGATTATATATTGTCTAATGGATTTTGTAACTGACTGATAGCTCAGAATGGTGTACTGGACATAACTTTCCCAAGAAGTCAAACTTTACCACTAATGCAGCAAAGAAAAATAATCAGTTGGCTGAGTAGATAGAAATCTCAAGGTTCGGAAAAAGCCACTAACGGATATTAAAACTAATGAGTGTGATTAGGAAAGGGATATTTACATACTCAAAATGTCATACCCACAAATGACTCATTACAAAGAGAAAAACAGAAACTTACTGTGAAAAAATTTGGTGGGTAGAACTGAACTGATGTAAAATAACATCTACGATGGGCTAAAATATCATGAGCCTCCCACGTGACAAACTGGTATTCCTCTCTAAAATGGGTAATCTGAATCTGACCAGAAAACATGAACATTCTACAAAATAAGTGACCTTATTTTGTGAAATATGCCTAAGTTTTATACATTCAGTATCAGTATTGTGTACACATAAACTGTCTGATCTTGATAAGGGTCTGAGGATTGTATATATGAATGTCCTGGTTCCTAGCACACAGACACCAAAGTATTCAGGGGTTAAGGCACATGTTAGGAACTTTCTGAATTGTTGAGCGAGAACAACAAAGCAAATGTGGCAAAATACTAACTTGTGAATGTGACTACTGTATACACTAGGTTTTTTGCACTACACTGAGGCAGTCCTTACTGAGAAAGAACAGACTGTTCTAACCAAAAGAGAAAACTGCACAGGAGAAAAAGACAGCCCCAGGGAAACCAAAGGAAGGCCGCATGGTCAGTGACAAATATGAGGTTAATCTGAACCCTTCCGCTGCTTGTACTCCATCAAATACACTTGTTTCAAGTTTCATGTGTGTTTCTACACAGGCAGTGAAGAGGACTCACATCACAACAGTTAAGGGGCTCACTAAGGGAAGAAGTCAGCATAGCAAAAGCACATGTGAGCAACATGTAATGATCCTGGCTCATTCATAGAGTTATGCCATGGAAAAACTAAAGTTAAATACCTTTGAGCTCAAAAGTTATATTTTGGGTGTTACCTGGATATTGCAGCTTTTTCCATTATTTCCTGCTGAATGAGTCCCGATGGCTCAATGACATCCAATATAATTATGCTCCACAGCTTGTCTGATTTGGGCCTTTGTAACACGGCAGATTCATCTTCCACATGTCTCAACCAAAACTCAAGGGTTTCTTTAGGAAAATGATTGGCTTCAGAGATGAGGTCCAGTGCAACACGATGCTGGTCTTTCTCCACAGAACTGTAAGGTTTCACCTGCCCGAGTGTGCCGGCAATGACGGGCAGAACAGAGAAGCCTTCAGACACATCTAACACATAGAAGGGCTCGGCGACCCCCTGTTCAGAACTGCTCTGACTGCGGCTCACCTCATCACTCTGATTGTGAGTATCCATAGCCTGGCAGAGTTTCTCGGGGCTCAATAAAGACAACACTTTCTTCATTGCCATCTTAAAGCCATCGTGATATGGAATGTTATTAAGCAAAGCAATTTCTGTGGATTCCAATACACACGAATGTTCCACAGCCTCAGGTTTGCTGGTCTGGAGGTTAGCCAGGGCACTGCAGAGTTCAGCTTCATTTCCCAAAGGGAGTAAATCCTGCTTCTTGGTGAAACTTTTCCCAACATCCATTTGTTCTGAACTGAAGATATTAATATTCTGGATTCTTAAATAATAATCTTGACAAGACACTTCCATCATCACACGGTCCCCAGGTTTTATCAAGTAGTCTACACAGGACAGTAAGAAAGAAAAAAATAGATGAATACAAGCCTACTGATCACACCATCACTTGTCCTTCCATGCCACACCCGTATTTTCAATCATGACAGGGAGTGACATTACATCTATAACAGATACTGCATCTATTCAATGAATGGGATTAAGTGAATTAATCTATTCATTTCCTACCAAAAGAAAACTAGTAGGAAAATTCCTCTAGCTTTAATGGGGGGAAGGGAGGCTGGGACTAAAGTTTGAAGACTCAATCACAGCAACAGAGTGATCCAAGAGTTCCATTAGTGGTCCCACCCATCGGTATTAGAGAGCTTTCACTGCAGTCCCTACAGGGATCATCATGTTCTCAAGCAGTGGGAGGGGAGGGGCAGCAGGGACTCTCAGTCTTCTTTGGTGAGGAAGCCAAAAGTAACAAAGATCAAAATCCAACATCACTGCAAACCACTCATTGGCTTAATGGAGCATTCTTTTCTCTAGGGGAAATTTCCCAAAGGGCAAGCAGGATTCAGTAAACCTTGTCAGTAATACTTCTTAACTGCAAGCATGTAGGTGTTTTTGCATGTTCAGACATTTGAAAATATAAGGAAGGACTAAGTCCCGCAGTAAGGATTCCTCAATGTTTTCTACACAAGCTTTCAGACTTGGTAAAACTTGTAAAATGATAACCTCTTCTTTTCATCCCTAGTGTCCACTGAAAATGCATTTCTGTGATGTGGGGCTTCAGAGATACCCTCAGATCCTGTTAAGTGGCAAAAACTGCACTAAAATTAGTAGTCCCTTTTCAGTGTGTTCCATAAAAATGGACTACAGCATGTCTCTGCCTGACAGCTAGCATAATCAGCACTAGAGATTTCCATTGGTCTCGCTTCACCTATGTGTCTGTATATATGTGTATAAGCTATTAAAGCTATTTTTAAAAAAGAAAAATTCTGGCTTAACCAGTCTCCTTTGAAAACTATAAGTAATTTTTCTGACACTGACTGAAATGCATAGAGGATTAAAGCAACAATTTTTAAGAACAAGTTTAGGGCCCTCCCTAGTGGCACAAAGGGTTGAAGTGCAACACTAAGGTAGTTGTAGCAGCTTCAGTTGGAGTTTGAGCCCCACAGGGCGCAGCAGACCTCTCCTGACCCACGCGCTGCTCCCCTCAGCAGTGACCTTCATTGATCTGCCTGTTCTGCTCCCCACTCTGTCTCTGGTGAAGCCTCTCACTGCCCCTGCACCTCTGGCTTGTACCCCAGTTCTGTGTGCATAAATAAATAAATCTTTAAGAAGAAAGTTTGAAAAGCCAAACCAGCGATACCTGCAAGGTCCTGTATGGGGTAGACAGCCTGCTCCCAACACGTCTCTTCACTAGGGCTTGTGGACAAACTGTGCTCCTCATCCAGCTGGAGTATAAACCAAACCACAATTGCATCCAAAATGCCTTCTTTAATAACAGGAATATCAAAGTGGTCAGGTTTTTTAGTTGCAAGACTTTTTAATTCCTGACAAAATGCAAAAGGAATACAAGGATTTTATGCATTTAACATGTATACTCATATGCCCCAATACCATACCACTTCCATTTCTGTAAGTTCTTAGTCCTGCCTAGAGTATCTCAGTGCACCTTTAACCATTTAAGGCACAGTAGGTAGGATTTTGCTAAGTGCCAAGACTTCAAATAACAAAAGGCTGGCTTTGGGATACTTAAAGGAATGTAATATCCTCAGTAACCAAACTTAAAATGTTCATTGGCTTCAGACCACCACAAGGAAAATATGGCAACAGGCAGAAAGCTTTTATTAAATTACAGAACTGAAGTCAAATGTCCCTCACAAAGTCTTTGGTCCCCAGGCAGGCTTCCTCTAAGACACTGTGTACCTGGGCATTTAATCTCAAGTATTTCAGAGAACAATCTCTGCAACCTTTCTCAGCTGATACAGACGGGTGATCACCTGGTTCTGGTTCACCCAAGACCATCCCAGTCTGTGTCTCTAGAACCTCTCAGGCCTGGTAAGCAGTGATGGCTGCTAAAGCGTACACACCCCAGGTCAACTGTGCACTTACCGTTCACCTCAATGAACACTATTAATTTGAAATGGCAGCGGAACAGAAAAACATCGGGACGATGCAGGTTGGCCTCCTGCCACTGCAGTCACAAACTGCACAATTTGGGGGAATCCATGCCAGCAACAGTGCTCCCCCACCTGCACAAGCACACTCTCGACCTCCCCAGACCACACAACCCCAGCAAATGAAAAGGAATTTTTAGGCCAAAGACTTCAGCAGGGTGTTGTGGTTCTGTTTTTAATTATTTACTTTAACACAGTAAATGGAATCCTATGTAAACTCTTAAAATAAGATTGCCCTATATATTATTTTATACAGCACAGGAAATTTAATGCTCAAAAATAGTAACTGGACTTGATTTTTTTTTTTACCTGAAGATTGTTGAAATCTACTGTCATGATTTCAAAGCACTCTGTCAAAGCCAAATAGCCCCCGGAAATGCGACTCATCTTTTCGGTTGTATAAGGTTCAACTGTTTCTTCGGTATCTACAGAATGAGCTGGACTTTGAAATTTCACATTTATTGGCAAGGAGATCCCAGCAAGGTCCTTACTACCCACTCTGATGAAAGGAGAAATGGGGGGATGGGGCGGGCAGAAAGATGTGTTTGTTTTAGAATCAAGTATTCTTAAACAGTTATAGAAACAATCATTAACAATAAAAGAAAACGTGATAAAAAAAACTACCAAAAAATAACTCTGCTGATCAAGATATCCAATAAGAAAGTAAAAAGCAAGCCACTACAGGGCTCCTCTTTCAAAATGGTAGCCATCGGTCACTTAATTTTTACATTGGGTAAGACAAATTTTAGTAGTTTTCCTGCAAAATGTAAAGAGAAACTACTGAATGATTTTACAAGATACAACCTTCCTTTCCTGTGGGCAATTCAGCAATATGCAAACTCGAACTCAGTAACTCTGGATAAAGAAGTTTTCTCAGAAAATAAAAGGCTACAGAAACAGAAAAGTGCATAGATATTTACCCTTGTTCTTAGAAGCAAAAAAATGAAAACAATTTAAGAATTCTGAACTTCAGAACTATACTTGGAAAATGATTTTAAAAAGTGATGCTGGAAATCTACTAAATGAAAAGATGCACAAAGAAAAAACAAATCTAGTTACTGATAGATTTGAAGGAAAATTAAATTGAACTACACACTGATGTATTTGGAGGGCTGGCATCCAGGCAGGACACACTAATTGGGCACAGCTGCTGTGGTAAGGCACCATCTATTTGGCTATGCTCTGCACATTACCAAACATGTTTACATATCATCCTGTAACGTTCATAGAAAACAGCAAGGAGTATACACAAAAGAGATGAACAGTAGTTATCCACTAGTGAGAAGCAGAAGATGATATTTATGTTATTCTTTACTCAAAGCATTTCCTACAATGGTTAGTGTTACCTTTACTATTAAGTATTATAAGGGGGCCACTCCAAATATCCAAAAAATATAGAGTAATACTTCAGCAAAATAAGACACTCAATAATTGTTCAGAAAAAAAAAAGCTTCATTATGTTAAAAAAATTAATGTTGTATTTTCATCTATGTATTTGATAAGTAAATCTCAGAATCTCCAAGATTCAAAAATAACTAAAATTTTATCCCATCCAGTCACAAAACATTATAATATCAATCAAGCTTTTTAAAAGAGGGAAATAGAAGAAATAAAACTAAAATTTTCTTCACACTGGGAATTTTTATTTCACTTTCACCTAAAGGCAGTCTGAATCTTACAACTTTTCTATATAAATATATCACAAGCCAAAAAGGAAATTGTTACCCTAAATTAATTTTCCTTAAAAAAATCAAAGTTAATTCTTAACTTCCATCATAAAATGGGGGAAAAAAGGAAAAAGAATTAAGACTGGAATATTGTGAATTTCACAGTGAGAAAACTAAGTTCTCATCTTTATAGTCTTTGAATAACCTATAACTTAAAATACTGTTTTCTAGTATTTACTATTTATAACCACATACCTATGATGTCTTCTTATCTCTGCACATTCTACTGCTATTCCAAATATAACAGCACTTGCTGGTATAACTTTCCCATAGTTTTCATAATTACCATTTTCACCTTTGGCCTAAGAATATAACGAAATTATATTCAGTACATATATAAAAAACTATATATGAAAATTAAGGAAATAGCTTTAAAAACAATAAGTAAGAACAAGCAGGTTACAGATTCTTTCAAAAGTTTTGTTTGTTGACTAGACTTATTTTGGTGATCATTTCACAAAATAGAAATATCAAATTATACTGAGCACCTGAAATTAACATGATGTCAATTACATCTCCAAAGAATGTTTTATTTTCTGTGTTATATATGTATACGTGTGTATACACACATACTTTTCACAGTATAAATAAAGGAGGAATGTTAAGTGTGGATACAAGACGACTGAGTGTGACTTTAATTAAGAAACCAAAATTGGGCTCCCCCCTGGTGGCGCAATAGGTTAAAGCACCACATTATGAAGCTCTCAGAAGCACTGCAGCACAAGTTCAATCTGTGAGTCACAGTAGAGAACCTTAATAGACAATATAATTTGGCAATTATAAGAGTCCTGTACAAAACTAGCCTGGGTTCAACATAACCAGCCAATTATCACTACAATCCCTTTTGATAATTCGCCCTTTCTCCATCCTATTCAAAAATTCCCCAGGGAGTCTCCACAATGTCACCTCCGTTCCTAAGAATTCCTTCCTGAGATATTCTATGCCCCATCCAGCACACAACACACATTACATTATGTGATTAAATGCTTTTTGCACAGATTTCTTTCCAAATATCCAGTGTGGATCCTGACTTGGGGTGTATTTCACACTACTTTGCACTTACTCTAAGGGTTCAAAAAATACCTGTTGAAATAAGGAACATAATCAAATTTTAGTGTTTTAAAATTGCTTACCTTTGGTGGCAAAAGTAAATTCTCCCATGCGTGAATCAAACTCTCCACAATTCCTTCTCCAAATAAACCTGCATCGACAGTTTCTGTTACAACTAGGGACACTCTATAGAATGATTTTTTAAAGATACATGTAAGTAAAATATACTTTTAAATGAAGAAGTCAAACCTAAGAGAAGGAAGAATATTATTACAGGAACAGTCCATTATATAAAAGTTTCTAATACATTTCATTTTTAATATCTACCCTGGATTCTTGAGGAAACTGACTCTCCTGTTCCTCGGGCTCCTCTGTTCTCCACTGGCATATCTGGGGTGCAGGGGTGAGGGGGCCGGCAGGAGGGGACCACACTACACACAACCTTTACGGACCCTGCTGCCTCCTCAGGCTATTGACTAAATCCTCACCAGAGCTCATCCATTCACCTTTACCAGCACCCTCCTTACTGCTAAGTAACTCAATTTCTATCCCCTACACTAAAAAACTCTATCACCACAGCCTCTCATACTTATCAAAATGAATAATCTGCCTCACCTCTCATTTTTCTCGATCTACAAACAACATTTAAAGTGAGAAGCCCTCCCTCTCCAAGTCCTCCCTCTACCTCCTCAGCTGCGTTTGCCTCTTAGGCACGCATATGCCTCTTCTCTGCCTCTCTGGCTTTGCCCGCTACCTGGGTTCTCAGATACGTGTATCTGATCCTCTATCTGCTCTTTCTGCTTAGAGAATTTCACCCAAAGACACCCAAAAAGAATCTCCCCTTTCCCTGATCTTTTTTAGCACTTTGGCGAGCATCATTCATTTATGCAGGTGAAAGGCAAAGCTTCATGGCCATTCTTTTTCTTCCTATCTAGACGGTAGATGCCTTGAGGAGAGAATCATTTTGGTGGATCCTGTCATACCGAAACCCAACCTAACACGTGTACAAAAAAATCAGTGGCATGTTTTTAATGAAAGGGGTATCAAGTCATCTAACCCAGCATCTTATTATCGCAAGTCATCTAACCCAGCATCTTACTATTGCTCATGATCAAAACAAAACACAGCAGCAAACAGAATTTAAACAAACACAGACTCCCCAGGAGAGGCAGTAAAGCCAATGCTACATAAAGAAACTTTCTAATGAGTGTTGGACCAGATGATTTTTAAATGCCTTCCAGCTTTAAAATCCTATCGTTCTCCTGAGAAGAATCAAAGTGAGATAACAAACTAAAAAGCCCAGACTTAGGAGATAATTTTCAAAGCATCTGAAGAGCCCAGGCCAAAATACAGCTGGCACTTCCCCAGCTGGCATTTTAGCTAAGCTAAATGTGATCAGGTCTAATCTACTGACATTTTGTTTTTAAATATACTTTAAAATTAGTAAGCACTATCGATCACAGAGGCCGGCATTACCCAATTTATCACTGAAATTAACAAAGGTAATTTTGCAAAAGTCAAGTTTATTTATTAAATGCTTTACCACAAATCTTCCTCAAAATCTTCATTTTTTTGGACCTTCCTGGTGGCGCAGGGGTAAAGTTCTCAGCTCCTTCAGCATGAGTTCATTCCCTGCCAGGGAGCTGACCCACACAGGGCATAGCTGACTGCCCATGTTTTGCCCGCTGCTCCCCATAGCAGTGTTATTTCAGTCAATCCACTTGTTCTGCTCCCCACTCTGTCTCTGCTGCATCCTCTCACCCCCACACCTCTAGCCTACACCGTAGTTCTTGTATGCATAAATAAATAAAAAATAAGTCCTTAAGATAAAATCTTGAAATTTTTTATCAAGAACATGACCTTGGTATAAAATTTCATATTATGCTAACCTATCCTACATCCAAATTTTTGTAAGGATTTTAGCTTTTGGGGGGGGGGGGAACTGGGAGGGGAATTTTAGCATTTGCTTTTAACAAGAAGCCAGTAAAGTATCTTAATTTTCAAAAATGAAACTGCATTGGGCCCTCCCTGGTGGCGCAGCGGGTTAAAGCACTGCACTGAGAATATAAAGCCACTTCCGCATGAGTTCGATCCCTGCCTGCCCCGGAGGTGACCACATGGCGTGGCAGACCTCTCCTGGCCCACCCGCTGCTCCCCTCAGCAGTGTACTTCGTCGATCTGCCTGTTCTGCTCCCCACTCTGTCTCTGGTGAAGCCTCTCACCGCCCCTAAGCCTCTGGCCTGTACCCCAGTTCTGTATGTACAAATAAAATAAAAATCTTTAAAAAAAAAAAAATGAAACTACATTATAAACAAAATTTTATGTAAAGAATAAGAGTTTGCACCACAATACCTCTCAGGGATGTGTTTTGGAATCTCTATGTCCAGTGACTTCATGTGTAAGAGAGTGATTCCTGCTTCCATCTCGTTGGCTGCCACCACGTCGCAGGCAAGTTCATACATGGTCTTGGACAGCTCACAGGCAAACACAGAGCGCGCGCCAGCTTTCTTGGCAAACATGCTAAAACAGGAAATGGTGCTCCGTTACAACAAAAAATTCACTGTCTTTTTTCTATTTTTTTTTTTGGATTTTTTTATGCAAATAGAACGGGGGTACAGGCCAGAGGTAAAAAGGCCGTGAGAGGATTCATCCGTGCAGAGCAGGGAGCAGGCAGATCTCAAGGAAGCACACTGCTGAGGGAAGCAGCGAACGGGTCAGGAGAGGTCCACCATGCCATGTGGGTCAGCTCCCCTGCAGGGATCCAACTCATGCTGAAGTGGCGTTAGCTTCTGAGTGCTGCGCTCTAACCTGCTGTGCCATCAGGGAGGGCCCTTCTTTCACTTTTTAGTAGAATAATGATGCTGAAACATGGGATTTACCCTTTCACTCACAGAATCAGTATTTCATTCCACATTAAAAAAATAAACTGAAATTCTTATCAAGAAACAAACCATACTATAAATCCACCCTACTGAGAACATATTCTCTGGTTTTGATGAACACTAACAGGTTTTGACTTAGACAACTAGATTCAACCAAAATGTTAATGCAAAAAGTACTTTTAAAATGCATTGCAAAAATTTAATAAAAAACCCAGCTTCTCTTAATTATGTCCAGTTTTTAATAAAGTAAAAGAATGGAAAAAATGCAATTATAATGGCATGAATAACCTTAAGATTATGAGACATGGGCCCTCCCTGGTTGGCAGAATGGGTTAGGATGCAGCACTGCAAGCGAGCCACAGCTGCTTCAGTGCGAGTTTGATCCCCCGCCCGGAGGTGACCCACATGGCACAGGCCCACTGCTCCCCTCAGCAGTGTACTCCATCGAAATGCCTATTCTGCTCCCCACTCTGTCTCTGGTGAATCCTCTCACCGCCCCTGTACCTCTTGCTTGTACCCCAGTTCTGTATGCATAAATACATATAGCTTTAAAAAAAAAGATTATGAGAAGTATATCAAATACTGAAAATTCCACTGCTAGCCTCTTTAATTTGCATTAATATACAGGTGTATCTGTATAAAATTTAAACAGAATTCCAACAAACCTTAATATTCCAGTTCCTGCTCCAATGTCTAAAACACTTTTGGAGCCCAAACAAACCGCCTTCTGGATTGCTGCATTATAAATTGTATTCCGCCTGGTGTCATTGAGCATGATGAAGTGCCAGCGTTCCACCAACCAGTTAGCAACTCGATAAAAATTCTCCTTTGCATCACTGAAGTCAGGATTCAGCTTCACTGCTTTATGAAAATAGCCCGCGGCTTCATCTCTAAAGCCCATTCTATAGTAAAAAGTGGCGGACAAAACATTCCAAAGTACGTTATCAATTACAATACCTTTATTCATGCCATGTATCTGACTTGAGGATCCCCCACCACACCCCAAATCCTACTCAACCCATGACAGTTTCCTTTGTGAAGTTTCTTGTGAGGATGACGGTCCTGCATCTTGACTATCAACGACTACTGTATTGAAATACAGAAGCTCTCCGAGCCAGCTCCATTTAACCAACTCACTAGTGCAGGAGCACTTTCTAAAAATCATCCCCCTTGTAAAATATACTAACACCTCTGGCTAAAATGTTTCTTTTCTCTCAGCAACTAAACTGTGTGGTCAAAAATCAGTAGTGGGCCTCCCTAGGGGCTTAGGGGTTCAATCTCCCTAGTGCCATCACCACAAGGGCCTACTGTGGAGGCCTGAGTTCGATCCCCAGCCAGGGAGCTGACTCACATGGCGCAGCAGACCTCTCCGGTCTTGCCCAATGCTCCCCTGAACACTGTATTTCAATAAATCCACCTGTTCTGCTCCCCAGTCTGTCTCTGGTGAATCTTCTCACTCCCCACACCTTTGGCCTGTACCCTACTTCTTCTACACAATAAATAAATAAAAAGATTTACGCCACATAATAGTACATTACTGAGGCTGACTAGTGAAGTTTGATAAAGGTATTTGTTATATTGACCTTTTTACTCAATAAACAATCTGACCAGATAAAGCAAAGCAACGAAGCAAAGGACAACTGCTGGAATGTGTGGCCCCTGTATATGGAACAAAAATTCTCCCTTTATACAAAGCTGGAAACCCAGATTTATTGAAATAAATCTGAAACAAAAATGTCTGTTTTTTACCAGTTTCCTGAATGGTAGTGTTTCTATGGAGAATAGACAGAAATTCTAACAGCAAGTTTCCAACAAGTTCCAGAAAACAGATTTACAATAAATCCCCTGTGATCATTACTCTAATCCTGTCATAGTTACCAAGTCTTTACGTTAAACTTTTCCTTCCAAATTACTATACAATTTCTCCCTGATCAAGACAGACACAGAATCATTCTTAAGTAATTCTGAAGTTACCACAAACCTGAAGAGATGCTCCCCCATACTGTTGCAAATGACTTCATCATCAGGAAACAGTTCCAAGGCTTGCTCATAGCAACCAAGTAGGTCCTGGGTTCGATTGAGCGCATCAAGCTCTTCAGCCCATCTGAAGAGAGTATACTGAAAAGTTTCCTTTCCAAAAGAGAAAACAGAAATTAGTCAATAACATAAATAACGGCCCAATAAACAACACTGGTTGAAGATTTCACAGAGAATAAAACTTACTATGAAGTGTCTCCTTAAGGTTTATTTAGCTTTAGTAGGTCTGTCTGCTAAACAAACGCAGGTGACTGAACCTCACCACCAACTGGTGATGACAGGCAGAACTTGACAGCTTGACCACTCTCGACAGCTTGATCGCTCATCCCCAGCGGCCATCTCCGTCTCCACCCACCTTGACTTTGTGTCCACTATTGTGTTTTAGGCGTTTGTCCTCTTTTCTTTTCTCATCTGCTCCCAATGCATGCATGGTTATCACCTGTATTTTCAAAGCAACACCTACATCTCTGATCAAGTTCCCTCGTCAGAGCCTCACTCATGCTACTTCCTTTTAGCCATCTAAACCAGGGAGGGCACCCAGCCATCTCGGTCAGCTCAACTCAAGTTTTTCTTCAACAGTGTGAAGACACAGCAGTGAACAACATAAGTCCTGTTTCTCTCCTCACAGCAGCCTTGTAGAAAGAATTTAATTTACAATTTTGAAAAAAATTCAAAATGTGCCCAAGCTGAACCCATCATAGGCCTCTCACACAGGATGTGCGGTGAAGGTACCACCCAAGTTCAAACCACAGAGGCACCTTCCAGGGATACCTGAACTCCAGTACTGTGAGTCTGAAACCCAGTCAATTCTCTCTGTCTCTGTCTTTAATTTCTCTCATTATCTCAACCATCCCTTCCAAAGCAGAGGTCATGGCATAGTTTGGCCCTTGGAAGCACTTGCTGGACCACAACAACAGCCTCCCACTTAGCCTGTTGCCCCTCCGTGCAGCCATTCTCCACACTTCAGCACAGCAGAAAAGGGAAGACATCCGTCCAACCAGCTTTATCAGGAAAACATTTTATATCATCTTCTCATATGTTATAGAGGAGAGTTGAAACCTGAAACTCTGAGTTCACCAGAGAGACAAGATAAGAAAAAAAGATTTTACAGTGTTTTTGGTTTTTTTTTGGGGGGGGGAGGGGAAAGCAGGGGTGGAAGCACAGATTATATCAAATGTATTAGAAAACCTGCAGGTGAGCAGCTGGGTGCGCCTGAAGTGAGGGTCTGGGGCAGTATAGAAAATGTCTTTTGCAGAGAAATAGGAATTTTGCAGGAAACAGAACTCATTACAGAACACTACTGAACCCTAGGCACTGAAATTCTAATTTGAGAGATACACTTTAAGACACTGAGTATCTTTCAGAAAGGTATGATGCCATTCTGTTGTACCAGAGAGGAAACTACAGAGCAAAGAACTGGGAAAGTCCTTTATTCTACATCGTCCAACCTAAAAGAGTAACCTGTATTTCAACATAGCACCTCTCTTTCTTGGGGCCCACCAGTGTTGAAATTGACATTAAATGTTTGTGAACTACTAAAGTATAGATGTTGGGCCTCCCTGGTGGCACAGGGGTTAAAGACACAGTGCTATCAAGCTATCACCAGCCACCTCAATGTAAGTTCAATCCGCAGCCAGAGACCTGAACCACACAGCAGACCTCTCCTGTCTTGTATGCTGCTCCCCTCAGCAGTGTATTTCAGTAGATCCACCTGTTCTGCTCCCCACTCTGTCTCTGATGAATCCTCTCTCACACATACACCCCCACATCTCTGGCCTACACCCTAGTTCTTGTACACATAAATAAATATCTTTTTTAAAAAGTACATGTTTCTGGTGTCTAGTGAGTGAAGATCTCCATGCTGCTAAACATCCCCCAAGGAACAGGAGAGTCTTCCACAAGAGAAATCTCCCATCCCAAATGCCAACAGTGCTGAGGTTGAGAAGCCTTGGTGGAAATAAATCAAAACAGCTTGAGGGCCTCATGCTGATAAATGAATGCACAATTAAGTTAAATCTTTTTTCAAAATAACTTGGAAAAATGTACAGAATTTCAAGTAACCACAAATAATACAAAAATTGCATCTTAAATGGTGCATCATCAAATGGCATAAAACAAAAATAAACTTTTGGACTAGAAAACCAATTAGTGGTTACCGGAAAGAGAGGGGGAAAGTAATGAGTAAATCGTGATAAAAGAGATGATGGCATGGTGAAGACCAGAAATGGTCCTTTAGAGGTGAACTCAATGGAGCATCAACATGCTGCCTTTCAGGGACCCACACCTGCAGCTTTTATACTACAATGCAATGTGAAGTCCATCAAAAATCACCGTTTCTTAAAGGCTGCACCATGAAATGATTACTTTAGGTTGATTCTAAACATCCTTTGCAAAGGGTAAAGACAAAGGTCCCGAAGCAGGCACACGCTAGAAACAGATATCGGCAGACTGAAGGTCTTATTAGCAGGCAACCTCTGCAATTTCGAGTGAGATGGAAGTTTTGCAATACAGAAGCGACGTCATTTGATGTGTTATGAAAAGTGCAGAAAGGCGTGTGGCGAAGGCCTGCAGGAAAGCCTCGCGTCCAGCCCATTCCAACAGCGGGCAGCAGATGACTGGAGCTGGAGCCGCACGGGGTAGCAAAGAAGGGGGTGCGTGAGATAAGATTCTGGATCTCAGTGGAAGACCGAGTCCACAGAGCTGGCTGTGGGTGTAAACAAAAGCAAAGGACCCACGGGTGAAGAGGAACTAGCAACCCTCAGCCAGTCGCCTTAGCACTGTCCCCTTATTCATTCTTTTGGGGGGGAACAGAGGATCTGGCTGGAGAGAAAGTCGGGCCCCCCCTCACCTTCACGTCGTCTTTCAGCTCCGGCGCCAGGCTGAGCACCAGCAGGTAGTGGGCATAGGCGGTGCCGAAGTCCCGGGCGCCCAGGCAGTGCTCGGCGCTCTGCAGGGACCGCGACACCAGCTCGTCACGCCCCGCGGCCCCGGCCCCGCTCCCGGCGCCCCGGCGCGACCTGGGCCGTGAGTTCGGCATGGCAGTCACCGCCTTCCCCCTGCGCTGGCAGGACCAAGAGAAGAAGCAGTGGTCAACGGAACCAGAAAACTGCGTCGATCGCTACTCCTCGCCGCGATCCACCAGAGCGCGAGAGCCGGTACGCGAGCGCCAGCCCCCGGCCACCCGCCGCGCGCCCACACCGCCAGGCGGAAGCACCGACGCCTCCTCAGGGCCTTCGGCCGTCGAGGGGCCTGACCGGTCGCGACGCGGCTTCAAGGCCGTCCCCCAGCGTTCCCTCTTTGTAGGCTTTGGGCAGTGGGGTCCAGCGGCCCGGCCTCAGCGGCGCGCCGCTCCCCCGCCCCCGTCCCCCCGCCGCGGGCCACTCACCTCAGAGAACTACAACTCCCAGAATGCCTCGCGCCCAGCCTCCGCCGCCGGGCGGGGCACCGCCCGCGCCAATAGGAAAGCCGGGTTCCCGGGGGCCGTTCGCGCTGGCCAATGAGCGCGGCGGGGGGCGGGCCTCGCCCGTCC